CACGAATGCTTTGGGTTTTCTGATTGATGGCATGGAGGTCTATCCGTGGCCGTGTTCATTTGCAGCTTATTAAGAGCCTGGCCTTAAAATGGAAAAGCGAGTACCCCCTCACTCCACCCCCCACCAAAAAAATATATCGGTATTTTTCACTCTTGACTCAGATTTCCCGTCCTGTCCATAGAGGAGGGCCAGAAGAGGAGGTCGTGCCTCTGGGACAGAGGCTGGGATTGAGGTGTGGGAGGGGCCTGTTGGAAGCCAGACCTCTTTGCTCTGAGCCTGGAGCTCAGCCTGTGCTAAGGTGTGGCCTGAGGAACCCTGGGACGGGGCCCGCCAGGCTCACACCTTGCAGCACGCTGTCACTCGTGTGTCCAAGCCCTGGCAAGACCGAGCCCCGGAAGAGTCTAAAACTTGGTGATTAAAAAAAAAAAAAAAATCCCTACCTATAGGGCTCCCGAAATGCCGGGAAGAGGTAATTTCAAACAAGTGATACCCACGTGCAAAAGGCAAGCAATTAAAACCGCTCCGAGTTCCTTTTTTCTCCTCAATCACCAGGGTGCGCACGCCAAGCCCACTGCATTTCTAAGGAGACAATCTATTTCTCCTTTGACCAGAGGGAAAAAAATCATTATTACATGATTAGTGGCTTCAGTTAGGTGAGAAGCGGCAGTGCGGGGAAGGCGGTGAGGGTGAGTGGTATTAATTACCTAACACTTGCTGGCAAGATAATTTTATCAGTGATTTGGCCACTAGTAAGTTGCAGCTTTTGATAAAAGTGGGCAAGTTCTTAGCTCCTAGAAACATGAGGGAAGGGAATGGTGTCAGATGAAATGCATCTCATCAGCTTTTCTCTGACAAACCAAATTCATTCCTTATGTAATTGATAACGGCCTTGTCCAATTATTTCACACATTACAATACACAGAGGCCCCCTTACAGGTTTTGCAGGGTTGTAATTAGCTATGCTAATATCTCCTTTATTGGCCCTAATATTGCTCGACACCTTTTGCCATCCTGGAACCCACGAGAGCCCCATGGCCTGTCAGGACCGCTGATTATTGAGAAGGATAGCTTTAATCAAACATAATTGCAGTTAATTTTTCTCTCCTGCTCTCTGTTGCCAGCGTCTAATGCCACGGACTCCTTGATATTCCATTAAATTACAATTAAACAGCCTCCTTTGTTTCTGATTGTCCTGAACACCACCACAAAGTTCTGTAGCCGTTTAAAGGAGAACTGTCTGTCCTAATTGCCTGCGCGCACACAAAGGGCCAATTTATGCAATGCCCATGTAGAATTTAAACAGTTCATAATGTAATGGATATTACACAGGAGCCTAACACTACAATTAAAATGATTTTCATCAGATAGAGCAGCTCTGGTTAATCAGCTTCATAAAAGTAAATATAAATGAACTAATTCATAGCTTAAACACACAGAAGTGGAGCAGACTCTGAAATGAGTTACTGCAGTGGGGGGCTTGCCCCTCGTCATGGGCTGCTGGGGGCGGGCTCCAGTTAAAACGCTTGATCCCGTGTTTTGCTGTGGCCCCACTTATGGCGTCCACGTCCACCATGTGGCACTTCTGGTGGCGCTGTGGCTGTTGGAGAGGATGCCGGCATGGATGCGGCCAAGGCCAAACCTGACTTTCCCCGCAGGTGCAGCCATGGCCGGGCTTTGCCAGGTAGCGGCCCCTGCAGACGTGAGGGCCCGCCCTGGAGCTGGCGGCAGAGACCGCAGGCAGGTACCCGTTGCCGGAGCCAGCGGACTGTCCCGTCCCGACCCCCAGGCAGCGGCCGCTCGCCCACCTTCCCAGGTGCTGGCGAGCGGGAGGGAGCCCGCTGGAGCCTGCTCGGGTGGCCTTCTCTCCTAATCCCTGCACGCTCTAAAAGTGGAAAACCTGGTTTCGGAAGTAATGAGCTCGCACCTCTCCCCCTTCTCATCGCTACTGAGAACTGTCCGGGGTCTTGTCTGATATCTCCGAGCAGAACATTACTGGGGAGTTTCCGCCGATGTGAAACAGTTTGCCCTGGGCGGTTGCCTTCACTCCTGCCGGAGAGAAACAAGTAAATAAAGCCCATATTTCAAGCTTGATTTACTCTGGTACCTACTGTGAAAGATGATGGCTCTTTAGGGAAATAAAGACAGGGTCAGGGAATTAGTGTACATAATGGTCATTTTGATGATGGGCCAACAGATGCAATGGAGAAGCGTACTGTACACAATTAAGCATAATGTACTAATGACAGGTTAGAATTTTTATCGCCTCTTTGCCATCGAGCAGCAAATCCATGTTTAGCAGTAATAAAGAGTTTATTGGTGTTAAAGCCAAAGATTTTCTGACATAGGAAAGATTTTTCCCTTCATAACAAGAGTATTAAATCCTTTGTGTACCAGAGTCTGGAAGTAAGATATGTAAAGTGGTTGTCAGATATTTCTTAGGAAAAAGCCAATTACAGGGTAATTGAGTAAGGGGTGAGAATTACCATTTGACTTCATGTGTAGGGCGTTGGGTTTCCTCTCCCTCCCCAAACATCCGCCCAGCGTCTCGCTGAGCCCTGGCTGGTGGGAGCGTCCCTGCGCTCTGGGCGTGCTTGCACCGTGTCTGTGGTCAAGCACTGGCTCGTCTGTCGCATCCGCCTTGTAACCCCAACAAGGGTAAACGGTAAGCACGAGGCTGCCCTTCCTCCCGGCTGAGGCTTCCTCTGTCTGGCCCTAGATGTTGGGCCTTACTTTCTGTGATCGGGACCAGAGCTCTTGGAAGGGGCTCTACCCTCGGGGGCCGTGCACGACACACCTCCCCCGTGTGCGTCCACGGCCCACGAGGTACTGGGTTGGAAGCAAAAACTTCCGGCGCCACATCCCAAGCAAGCATGTGTGCGCCCATCCCCGGCAATGCTTTGGCTGTCCACCGGGCCTAGCACCCAACTCTGTTCAGCTAAAGTTCTGCGCCAGGCCCAGCTCACCCTCCTCACGGCCAGTGGCTATTTAGACCATCTTCAGAACACTCTGCTGCCTCGCAGGGGAAGGGTG